ACTACAGAGAAAGAAAGAGATGGAGAGACTACAGAGAAAGAAAGAGAGACAGAAAGAGACTAGAGAGAAAGAAAGAGAGAAGGAGAGAGACTACAGAGAAAAAGAGAGAGACTACAGAAAGAAAGAGAAGAGAAAGAGACTAGAGAGAAAGAAAGAGAGAAGGAGAGACTACAGAGAAAGAAAGAGATGGAGAGACTACAGAGAAAGAAGAGAGATGGAGAGAGACTACAGAGAAAGAGAGAGAGATGGAGAGACTACAGAGAAAAAAAGAGAGATGGAGAGAGACTACAGAGAAAGAGAGAGAGATGGAGAGACTACAGAGAAAAAAAAGAGAGATGGAGAGAGACTACAGAGAAAGAAAGAGATGGAGAGACTACAGAGAAAGAGAGAGATGGAGAGACTACAGAGAAAGAAAGAGAGAGATGGAGAGACTACAGAGAAAGAGAGAGAGATGGAGAGACTACAGAGAAAGAAAGAGAGATGGAGAGAGACTACAGAGAAAGAAAGAGATGGAGAGACTACAGAGAAAGAAAGAGAGATGGAGAGACTACAGAGAAAGAAAGAGATGGAGAGACTACAGAGAAAGAAAGAGAGAGATGGAGAGACTACAGAGAAAGAAAGAGAGAGATGGAGAGACTACAGAGAAAGAAAGAGAGACAGAAAGAGACTACAGAGAAAGAAAGAGAGACAGAGAGAGACTACAGAGAAAAAAAGAGAGATGAGAGAGACTACAGAGAAAGAGAGAGAGATGGAGAGAGACTACAGAGAAAGAAAGAGAGAAGGAGAGACTACAGAGAAAGAAAGAGAGACAGAAAGAGACTACAGAGAAAGAGAGAGAGATGGAGAGAGACTACAGAGAAAGAAAGAGAGAAGGAGAGACTACAGAGAAAGAAAGAGAGATGGAGAGACTACAGAGAAAGAAAGAGAGATGGAGAGAGACTACAGAGAAAGAGAGAGAGAAGGAGAGACTACAGAGAAAGGAAGAGAGATGGAGAGACTACAGAGAAAGAAAGAGAGATGGAGAGAGACTACAGAGAAAGAAAGAGAGACAGAGAGAGACTACAGAGAAAGAAAGAGAGAGACTACAGAGAAAAAAGAAAGACAGAGAGAGACTAGAGAGAAAGAAAGAGATGGAGAGAGACTACAGAGAAAGAAAGAGAGACAGAGAGAGACTACAGAGAAAGAGAGAGAGATGGAGAGACTACAGAGAAAAAAAGAAAGACAGAGAGAGACTAGAGAGAAAGAAAGAGATGGAGAGAGACTACAGAGAAAGAGAGAGAGATGGAGAGACTACAGAGAAAGAGAGATGGAGAGAGACTACAGGAAAGAAAGAAAGAAAGAAAGAAAGAGATGGAGAGACTACAGAGAAAGAAAGAGAGAAGGAGAGACTACAGAGAAAAAAAAGAGATGGAGAGAGACTACAGAGAAACAAAGAAAGAAAGAGAAAGAAAGAGATGGAGAGACTACAGAGAAAGAAAGAGAGATGGAGAGACTACAGAGAAAGAAAGAGATGGAGAGACTACAGAGAAAGAAAGAGAGATGGAGAGACTACAGAGAAAGAAAGAGATGGAGAGACTACAGAGAAAGAAAGAGAGATGGAGAGACTACAGAGAAAGAAAGAGATGGAGAGACTACAGAGAAAGAAAGAGATGGAGAGAGCTATTTCCTCCTGAATCTCATTGCAGAGGAGTAAACACTGGGATCTCTCTGTGTGGTGCAGGTGTGGAGGAGTTTGTTTGATCTCGACCCGTTTTCAATTAAGTCTTCAGTGTTTGAGGAGCCGAGACTTTAAATATGCTCCAGTCACACACAGAGCTCAACTAACAGAGGCTGAAGTCACAGACGGAGCGGACGACTCGGCTGCTCTAATATACAGATTATGAGGATTTAATGGGATTTTTCCAAGATATTTGAGCAGAATATGTCTCGCCCCAGTACAGATATATTCTATTACCATCGAATTATAAAGATTTACTGAAGAATTTGCATGTGTGGAATAACTTCGGACCAATGCAAACTGCTTAAAATCAACAAGTTTTGCAGTTTTTGTGTTTTAAGACAGTCAAAATTAGAGATACCGTATATTTTGGGCTATAAAGTGCACCGGATTATTATGGATTACCACACCGCTGCCTTGTTGGTTTAAGATTTGGTGATGGAGCAGATTTATGAAGCTGGTGGAGAGTGGGCGAGACATTTCCACAGTCATTTTGCCACAGAACAGCATTAACCGGAAGTTCTGCGAACCTAAAGCGAGGCACTTGCGGCCGCTGTGAAAAAGGTCGATTTGAACCAGAGCTCAGAAGATCCAGTCTGCGCTCACTTCCTTGACCGTGTCCGTAGGCGCAATATCACTAATGTTGAATTCTCTCATCTATTTTCATACATAAATTGCACTGGATTATAAGGCGCATTAAAGGTTGTATAGAGGATTTTCCAAGGAACGAGAAATCCAGCGACTGTTTGTCCTTTTTCAAATGTTGCGCATGCGTGAAACCACCCCCCTCCCCCACAGCTCCTACGTAGAAACGCCTCCTCCCTCCTCCTCCTTACGCCACAAACAGGTTTGTTTACAGCCGGTGCACATGACTTGTAAACAACTAACTACAGTGTTGGTTAGGCAAGACGGAGAAGTGAGGAGCGGGGGGAGGGGGGGCGCGGACATTTCGTTCGTGGACGAGAAGTGAGGAGCAGGGAGAAGAGCGGATCGGGCAGCGGGGAGAGGAGCAGGAAAGGGGAGCAGAGAAGAGTGCGCGGAGATTCCGTGCGAATGAACTAGCTACAACACGCAGCAGCAAGCAGACTCTTTCTTTGCCTTGAAAATTATGTTTTCAGACATAGGATATCGCTTTCGTGTCCTGAAAAACGTTTGTGTAGCTCTTGGAAATAAAGTACGTTTTCATAATAAGCAGAAGTTTCCTGTCCAGGAGTAATTTGTGGACCAGTGCGTCAGTCTTTAGACCCTGCGTCTGCTTCAGTCGCGCCATCGCTGGAATGAATCTACAAGAATCACCTTAGTTTGGCTTCGCTGCTTTTCCCCTTGTCTTCTTCTTTCAGCGACCTCAAAAACGGACTTTCTTTTGCGGCGAACTGCTCCTGGATTCTTGTCGCCATTGCAACAAACTTTGTGCGAACTGCGAGGAAGATATAGGTCAAAAAAAGAACTGTTGCGTTGGTGGAGTAAACAGCGTCTGTGCGTCTTGCGTCTGTGGACTGTGTGACAGTCGTACGTAAACCACGTACCGGCGGCGCAGGCAAGTCAGTTACACTAGAAACGTAGGGAGATTGATTGACAGCCTGTCAGCTCACAGATAACGAGGCAGTGTCATTATCTATTGGCAAATGTTTAGCCCCACCACGTCCAGAGTTGATGAATTTTTATTCTCTTTTTTTTGGTCATCATAATTACAAGGCTACTGCATCTCTATAATCTATCATTGACAACTTGAAACAAAAAAAAATCCTCCATACCACCTTTAAGCGAAACAAACGGACGACACATGAGACTGATCCTTAGTCCAGGCGTATGGCAAGTCAAACTCTTCACATTTACGCCTAACACCTAATTTGACGTATATTACAAGCTTATCTGACAGTTAAGTTCTTATTTGACACGTCGAATTGTTATTTGACACATCAAATTATTCTTATTTAACGCGTCAAATTATTGTACATTATGATAATGATCTCCTCCCACCGTTTTTCCCAATCAATGAATTCAAAGTGCTTTCAGCCAATCACTGACCAAGAGTCCAGAACAGTCCAACACCGATGTCCCTATACGCATTCTTTACTCTTAAAAAATAAACCTTACACTGTGTAAATTGTCATCTATCAAATTTAAAACGCTTGTCGTGCACCTCAGCGTATTTATCTTTTCAGTCTGTCGCTCATTAAGTAACAGATTATTTTATTGTCTGTATACGATTGTCAAAGGAGGACAATATGAAACACAAACTCAGCAGTGGGAGATCATTATCATATGTAATTTGACACGTTAAATAAGAATAATTTGACGTCAAATAAGAACTTAATGTGTCAAATTGTTATTTGACGCATCACATAAGGTGTTAAACGTGTTAAATACATGTGTAAATGTGAACAGTTTGAACATACAGGTGTCCACAATCCATTGGCAGATCGTGGCGTAATTCGCTCGGCGTTGTCTCTCTGTCTTGGTGAATGTGGGTGGATCATTTAAGTTATTTATTTTATTTTTTTTCCTACAAGGACGACTCAAATATATATTGAATAATAATGTGTTTAATGCAGCTTTGTGCACATTTGTTTACGTTTTACAGAAACAAAACTTAAAGCCACATGGCTCATTTGCATAAACTATAAGCGCTGAAAAAAAACAGCTCACTCTTGATGCGGTTCAGCTTCTGTCGGACTCTGCAAGGCTCTTAACTACGGCCACCGTAATGCTCCGATAATCCATCAAGTGGTGCGGCTTCGTGGTTTACCAAAGTCGTACTAAAACATTTTGACAGATTTTTGAGCGCCGTGTACTACATAAAATCGGTTCGAGGTCAATAAACACAACCAGAATTAATACATAAGGTGCACCGGATAATAAGACGCACTGTCGATTTTTGATCAAATTAAAGGATTTTAAGTGCACCTATAAAATACGGTACATATGTTACTGGCCTTAATCATTAACTTTTCTGGTTTAGGGTCCGTCAGATGTTTTTCTTCATGGAGATGTTATTGCTTTGTCTGGAATGTTTCACAGTATGGCATTAAACCTTTCGATCTTCAAGGAGACCTAACCAGGTCAAGTTACAGGTTAGATCTGTGGAGAGGCGACTCCCCTCACAGTCAGAATGCCTGTTTTTTTAGATATTTTTGAGCAGTACAAAAAGTGAAAGTAGAGCTGTTTAATGTCACACTGTGGATCATTCCAAGCAGAGCAGTGGCACATCCATCCCGGTGGTGTACGAGAGCGGGGTTTGTTTTTCTGTGTTTTTACCCTCCGTGTTCTGTGTGTTTTTCAGAGGTGGCGCGTAACGACACCTGCCCCGAGCTGCCTGAGATCTCAAACGGCTGGAAGAGCTCGTCTCACCCCGACCTGGTGCAGGGGACCGTGGTCACGTACCAGTGCTACCCCGGCTTTCAGCTAGAGGGCGCCGAGCTGCTCATGTGCCAGTGGGACCTGACGTGGAGCGGAGACCTGCCCAGCTGCCAGAGAGGTGAGCGGGACAGCGGAATATCACTCATGATAATAAATCCGTTATATAATAAAATGATAATAATGTAATGGGCAAGAATCCACATTCAACCTGTAACCTGAACTCATGGTCTCTGTGTGTCACTCAGTTTCTCTCTCTTGTGTTCAGCTGATAGGGCAAACACCTACACAGGGTTTCCACAGTCATGGAAATCCTGGAAAAGTCATGGAAATTGTAAATGTCATTTTCCAGGCCTGAAAAAGCAATGGGATTTTATAAATTCTATGAAAGTTTTGGAAAAGTTCTGAACGTCTGCGCCTTTTGTTTAAAAGAGACGACAATAAATGCACTGACAGGATTTTGAATGTTAAAAAACTATAATCCCAAACCATAAGTAAAGGGTTGACACTTCATATTTAGCCCTGAAAGTCTGATCAATTCTACACATGCAGTTGCTGTAAAGTCATGGAAGATTCACTTTAGGTCATGGAAAAGTCATGGAAAAGTTCTGAAATTTTGTCAGTGAAAAAAAGTGGGAACCCTGCTTACAGCTCATGATCTTGTGGCAAGTTCGCAAAAATAATTTATCCTTTTCTCAGTTCAGAGTCGTTAAATTGTCCTAAAAACTTATGCGTAAAGGCTAAACTAACATCACACAACTCTGAGCTTGGCAGTGTGGCCCATTCACTTATAATGACGGGGTACCTGGTCTCTGAACATTTTGTATCTCCTTTTTGTCCCTCTTTTCTCACTATAAAGTAGTGTCTAAACCATAGACTGCATAAAAATGTGGTCTAAGTGACTGTGGTGCCACCCATAGTGTTAAGTTCCAGCCGAATGAAGCTCATCATGGCTTGCAGTTATAGTGGCAAATATGGAGTTGAGTTCTATATTTGGAATTTTGAAATATTTGGAAGCAGTTACCGAGAGGGTTGCAATGGATTTTCAGTAAAATGTGAATTGGAGCCAGAGTCAATGGAGCAGACTTGCTACTTAACACAGTGGCTAGTGGGCTATATTTACATACAGTCTATGGTATTATCTCAAAAAACACTTTTGTCGCTCTTGTGTCTCTGTACAGTAGTCTCTAAACTCTCTGTTTTTGTCCCGCTCTTCTCTCCTTACTGTATTCTCTAAACTCTTGTTTTTTTGGTCCCTCCTGTGTCTCCGTACAGTAATCTCTAAACTCTTTCTTTTTGTCACTGTCGTCTCTCTGTACAGTAGTCTCTAAACTCTCTTTTTTCTGTCCCTCTCGTGTTTCCGTACAGTCGTTTCTAAACTCTTTCTCTTTTTGTCCCTCTCATGTCTCCGTACAGTCGTTTCTAAACTCTCTCTTTTTGTCCCTCTCGTGTCTCCGTACAGTCGTCTCTAAACTCTTTCTCTTTTTGTCCCTCTCGTGTCTCCGTACAGTCGTCTTTAAACTCTTTCTCTTTTGGTCCCTCTCGTGTCTCCGTATCGTCGTCTTTAAATTCTTTCTCTTTTTGTCCCTCTCGTGTCTCCGTACAGTCGTCTCAAAACTCTTTCTCTTTTTGTCCCTCTCATGTCTCCGTACAGTCATTTCTAAACTCTTTCTCTTTTTGTCCCTCTCGTGTCTCCGTACAGTTTTGTCTCTAAACTCTCTCTTTTTGTCCCTCTCGTGTCTCCGTACAGTCGTCTCTAAACTCTTTCTCTTTTTGTCCCTCTCGTGTCTCCGTACAGTCGTCTCTAAACTCTTTCTCTTTTTGTCCCTCTCGTGTCTCCGTACAGTCGTCTCTAAACTCTTTCTCTTTTTGTCCCTCTCGTGTCTCCGTACAGTCGTCTTCTAAACTCTTTCTCTTTTTGTCCCTCTCGTGTCTCCGTACAGTCGTCTTCTAAAACTCTTTCTCTTTTTGTCCCTCTCGTGTCTCCGTACAGTCGTCTTTAAACTCTTTCTCTTTTTGTCCCTCTCGTGTCTCCGTACAGTCGTCTCTAAACTCTTTCTCTTTTTGTCCCTCTCGTGTCTCCGTACAGTCGTCTCTTAAACTCTTTCTCTTTTTGTCCCTCTCGTGTCTCCGTACAGTCGTCTTTAAACTCTTTCTCTTTTTGTCCCTCTCGTGTCTCCGTACAGTCGTCTTTAAACTCTTTCTCCTTTTGTCCCTCTCGTGTCTCCGTACAGTCGTTTCTAAACTCTCTCTTTTTGTCCCTCTCGTGTCTCCGTACAGTCGTCTTTAAACTCTTTCTCTTTTTGTCCCTCTCGTGTCTCCGTACAGTCGTCTTTAAACTCTTTCTCTTTTTGTCCCTCTCGTGTCTCCGTACAGTCGTCTCTAAACTCTTTCTCCTTTTGTCCCTCTCGTGTCTCCGTACAGTCGTCTCCTGTCCAGACCCGGGTAAGGTGGACCACAGCCGCAGAGTCCTGTCCTCCTCTCACTTCACCGTGGGATCCAGCGTTCAGTACGTCTGTGACAAAGGCTACAGTCTCCATGGCAACAGCCTCCTGACCTGCTACAGCCGGGGGAGCGGCGGTCCGAGGTGGAGCCAGAGGCCGCCCACCTGCACACGTACGTTTGTGGAATATTTTACATTTTATTAGCTCTGTCTGCAAGCGAGACTGAAGAAAAACCAGACTGTGTCCACATTATCCCTCTGTACCTTTCTCCGTTTCAATCCAGTCCACTTTATTTAAATAACATGACAGTTTCTAAAGTCCTGCACAGACAATTTAAGACAATAAGGCTGCGTTCAGACTGCAGCCTGAAGTGACACAAATCTGATTTTTTTGGCCCCTATGTGACCTGGATCTGATATGAACGACACAGATCCGATTTTTTCAAATGCGACCCAGGCCACTTCGATATGTGCTCCTGAAACTAGGGCTGGGTATCATTAAGAAGTTGCCGATACGATACATACCTCGATACGGTGCACTTTCCGGTTCGATACGATATGTAAATCATGGCTGTGCTACTGTGTGTGTCTTCGTTAAACCACTTCTTCTTGTGCAAAGTTAATATGAAACACAAACATTTGAATCGTCAAAACAGTGAAAATGTCAAATGTGTCGCATAAATACGTTTTCTTCAACAAAACTGTAGCTCTGTAACAAAATAATTGAGTAAAACATACCAAAAAAAAATACTCTTGGCGATATATCGATGCAGCAGCCCACGATATCGATACTGTATCATCACATTAAATGATACGATATATCGATATTTTGATATTTTTGCACACCCCTACCTAAAACTGATACATATCTGATCTTTTGACATGTGACTTCAGTCTGAACGGCCAAAGTGCATTCATCCACCTACACGTTATCAACAAGACACAAACGTCACTATTCTGCACTGAAGTAGGTGAAAATTGTTAATGAACTCCATGTCACTGAAGTGAAGCACATCACCACTCACCACTCTTGGCTCCGTCTCCACATCCACACGTTCCTTTCAACAGGACGTCGCTGCCGCCACAAAACACCACGACCAAAAACCTCGTCCTTCTCCTTCTCAATCTCCTCCTTAAAACAAGTAAGTTGTTCATGTTCTGGCTCCGGTACGAGAGGAACTTTAAAATCTCCAGGTGCTCGATGCTGCGTCCATGTTTGGACAACTTCTGTAAACACAGAGCGATGTCATCATGTCCTCCACTGCTCATGTGGGACACTTTTGGGCCATTTAATGTTCACACTGGAGTCACATACAAGTCGCATTTAATTGGAAATGTGAACGACCTCGCAAAAACATCGGATTTCACAAAAAAATCCGAATTGAGCGTTAAAGTCCTGCAGTCTGAACGTAGCCTAAAAAAGAGTAAATCATAAATGGACCCAGTCAAGCAGAAGTATACAGCAAGGCCAGGACTGATTCAGAGACCAGTCCGAGACCAGACTGGGACCAAAGCGTGATTGAGACTGGGACCAGAGCGGGACTGAGGCCGGGACCAGACCGGGGCTGAGACCGAAACTGAGACCGGGACCAGGCCGGGACCAGACTGGAACCAGACCAGAGGCTCAGAGCCCACAGCAGGGCCGGAGCTCGAAGCTGAGGCTCGGACCCCGCGGAGGCTCAGAGTCAAAGCTCGGAGTCCGCCCTGGTCCCGCTCTGGTCCCGCTCTGGTCCCGCTCTGGTCCCGCTCTGGTCCCGCTCTGGTCCCGCTCTGGTCCCGCTCTGGTCCCGCTCTGGTCCTGGACCTGGATCAGTCCTGGTTCAGTCCATATGCAGTGTAAAAGTCCGGCATCGCAGTCACGTAAGTCACGTAAACGGGAAACTGTCATTTTCCGTTTTTTCCATTCTTCATTTAAACACAAAATTGAAAACTGAAAAAACGAATCATTATCTGTTTTTTCATTTTGGTTTAACGAAGAAAACAGTTGTTTTTTCGTTTTGTTATTTTTGGTTTTATATTGAAAAACGAATGAACGAATGATACACGGATTCAGCTGAAGTGTGTGTTTTCTTCCGGTCGATGTAAATACGTTTGTGTCTCTGTCCAATCAGAACACTTAAATAAAGACGATTTAACGAGTTTTCCGTGTAAACCTCATTCTGAATTATTATTTCCATGTAAACAGAACTATTTAATTCAGAGCAATTCACTCGGAATTAAAAACAGCTTCTCCACAACAAGTTCAGCCTTTGTGATTTGCTAATTGTGATTAATTAAAAGACGTGTCAGAGGTTTTTCCTGTTCTTTCACGTTCGGACGGATCCGTTCGGTGACAGAGCGTTTTGGCCGATATTAAAAGCCTTTATCTCCCGTTTCCTGTGGGCACTTCCTTTGTCCTGTTTAATGAATCATGATCCTTCAGTGTCTCTCCGAAGTAGGTGAGGCTCTATATGAAAAATGCAAATGAGCCGAAGGAAATGGCGTCTGAATAAGTTGGACGTGAAGTTATAGCGGCGAGTACAATAAAGATGGAGGCAGGAGGGCGAGGAGCGGAGGGAGGTCAGGTGCGGGGAAATATTATTACGTTTTTACACTAATTGAATCGATAAAACCATTGAAAACTACACTTTATAAAATAACACTATAAAGGATGTTGGAAAAGGAGGTGTACTGTGTGTTAAATGCGCACTGCGGAACTTTTCTGGTACCGTCACACTAGTTAAAGCATTTAAAGTGATGGTATGGAACTTTCTGGACTTGAAAACCGAGTCAGCTGCATGATTCAATGGAAATAAACAAGATAAAACCATACTTTGGAACATTCTCCATGGCGATACGTGCAGTGTTGGGGAGTAACAGATTACATGTACCAGAGTTATGTAATCAGAGTACAAATTATGAGTAACTGTATTCAGTTACAGTTACTGTTTCAGTGAGTGGTAATTGGATTACAGTTACTTTGTTGAAATAAATGGATTACACAGAGGGATTTTCCTGTTTTTACATTTTGGGCTATATTTTTCTGTAATTCCACTCATTGCCAGACACTAAACCAGGTCTAAAACCAGGACAAAACCAGGTCTAAACCAGGTCTAAACCAGGTCTAAACCAAGTCTAAACCAGGTCTAAACCAGGTCCAGGAAAACCAGGATTAAAACCAGGTAAACAGGACTAAATCCTGGTCTGGTCTGGACGTGTCTCCTCTTCTTCTATCAATAATATTTTTAATATGTTTAAGTAAAGTCTGGGCTTTTTATTTTCTTTTATCAGGTAAAACATCATTTGTTACAATGTCCTCGTCTTTGCTTCTCTACAGCAAATCAAGTAATCCAAAGTATTCAGATTACATTACTCACTTTAAGTAATTTAATGGATTATGTTACAAACTACATTTTGGGGTCTGTAATCTGTAGGGGAATACATTTACAACCAAAAATAAGAAAACGAAAAAACAACAGTTTTCTTCGTTATTTGTCTCCAAAACCAAAATGAAAAAACGGATAATGATTCGTTTTTTCAGTTTTCGATTTTGTGTTTAAATGAAGAATGGAAAAAACGGATAACGGCCGTTTCCCGTTTACGTGACTTCAGTGACTGTGATGCAGAACTTTTGCACCGGGTACAGACTGAACCAGGACTGATCCAGGTCCGAGACCAGACCGGGACCAGAGCGGGACTGAGACCGGGACCAGAGCGGGACTGAGACCGGGACCAGACCGGGACTGGGGCGAACTCCAAGCTTTGACTCCGAGCCTCAGCTTCGAGCTCCGGCCCTGTCGTGGGCTCTGAGCCTCCGATCTGGTCCTGGTCTTGTCTCGGTCTTGTCTCTGTCTCAGGCCCGCTCTGGTCCCGGTCTGGTCCCAGTCTCAGTAGCGCTCTGGTCCCGGTCTGGTCCCGGACCTGGTCCATTTGAACCAAAAGCTCTTAGTTCGGTTCGTTTTCGTTGGTGTGAAAGCGTCAGTTTGATGCTTTGCACCACCTCGGAACCAGCCGCGGTTCTTGAGCACGGAGGACCAGAGCAGCCCGTCCGGACCTGTAGTCCACAGAACATTCTCACTTTCCCCGCACGGAACCAGCGCGGAGACGATGACACAGAACCACTCGGACCGCTGGTCTCGGACTCAGTTCCGCTCTGATCCCGCTCTGGTCTCGGACCTGGATCAGTCCTGGTTCAGTCTGTACCCGGTGTAAAAGTCCGGCATCGCAGTCACTGAAGTCACGTAAACGGGAAACGGCCGTTATCCGTTTTTTCCATTTTTCATTTAAACACAAAATCGAAAACTGAAAAAAAGAATCATTATCCGTTTTTTCATTTTGGTTTTGGAGACAAATAACGAAGAAAACTGTTGTTTTTTCGTTTTCTTATTTTTGGTTTTATATTGAAAAACGAATGAACGAATGATACATGGATTAACCAGGTCTAAAGCAGGACTAAACCAGTGTCAGTGGAGTTTACATGTTTACACGCCGCAGCCACCGAGACGATCACCTCTGCTGATGATTTTATATCATAAAAACACTAAAGTCTCAGCCTGTTCTGCCACTTAAGTTCATATGTGAGTCAAGGCAGATGAGTGAATACTTTTACAGTATAGTGTATCTGTGAAGCATATCGTATTTCATTAGGGGTGTTTTTATTGTCAAAGATTAGAAGAAAAGAAGAAGTTTAATCCCACACTATAAAATATTGTAGACAAAGTAGGACGTCAGAAATATGGAAAGTTTCTGCATTGGACCCAAAATCCACATGATTGTAATTATTCTTGTTGTTGTTGTAGGAGGCGGAATACAAAACCAGCTCGTGTTTTGAACAATGAAGCTTCTACCGATTTCAAAATGGAGGTCACAATATTTTCGACCCCGAGGACATTAAAAGCATTAACGAAACCAGGCTAATTACAGCAGCAGCAGCGTTTCAGAGTCACATTTTGAACAATAACAGCCCATTACTCCCCCCGGATCAGCGCCCTTTAACACGGAGAGCCGAGTAAATACACGGAGAGGCGCCGCAGGTCAAAGGTCGCACCGCAATAGGGACTTGTTGGCTATTTTTTTGTTGTTTTGTAATAATAATACTTTTATGTCCTTTGTTATTATGGGTGTGGGTAAAGGACAAAGCACTGAAACTTTTTAAAATGACTTTTTAAAGTAGAATTAAAGGGCCCATGTGACTCTATTTTCTGATCCATGTTGTAATGTTGTTTCCTCGTCCCAAACAGACCTGGAGTTTTTGTGTTTTGTTTCATTCACACGTGCATATTTAGACTGAACTCTTTTCTCAAATTGAAAACCTTGTGATGTTCCACCTTGTGATGTCATGTGGTGACACAGGAAGAGCTCCACTGTGTTTTAAAACTCCAAACACCTTCACTAGAATCATTTGGATCATCTCAGCCCTGGAAATGTGAATCTCTGCTGAACTAAAGGAAAATTACCGCTTCATGACATCACGAGGTGGAACAGAGCATTTTGAGCTTTGAAGATGTAGACAGACTAATAATAAAGTGTTACTCAAATGTGTGAATTACCACGTTTAAATGAGAGCTTTAATTCAGATTAAAAATAATTTAATTTGTAAAAAAATATTATTCCGCTTTAAAAAAAAAAAAATGTAAACATTAAATTCCTAATGATTATTCAGAAATAAACTTAATTACAAATTAATGCTCACAAAAGTCCATTTTGTGTAATATGGGACCATTAAACAGAGCCACCAAAAAAAGTAACCATGTCCATGTACTTCAGGCTCCTGGTTTGGCTTTTCAGACGTGTCAGCTAAATATTGGTATCGGAAAATATCGGTTGTAGGGCCAAATATTGAATATATTGAATATCCATCCATTTTCTTTCACTTCATCCGGGGCCGGGTCGCAGGGGAAACGTTCTAAGAAGGGATTCCCAGACTTCTCTCTCCACACACACTTGCTCCAGCTCCTCTGGAAGGACCCCGAGGTGTTCCCAGGCCAGCCCAGAGACACAGTCCCTCCAGTGTGTCCTGGCTCTTCCCCGGGGCCTCCTCCAGGTGGGACATGCCCGGAACACCTCCCAAGGGAGGCGTCCATGATGCATCCGGAACAGATGCCCGAGCCTCAGCTGCTCCTCTCGACGTGGAGGAGCAGCGGCTCTTCTCCGAGCTCCTCCTGTGTGACTGAGCTCCTCACCCTGTCTCTAAGGCTGCGTTCAGACTGCAGCCTGAAGTGACCCAAATCCGATTTTTTGGCCCCTATGTTCCTGTATCTGATCTTTTAATGACAGTCTGAACGACACAGATCCGATTTTTTCAAATGTGACCCAGGACACTTGGATATGTGCTCCTGAAACTGATACATATCTGATCTTTTGACATGTGACTTCAGTCTGAACGGCCAAAGTGCATTCATCCACCTACACGTTATCAACAAGACACAAACGTCACTATTCTGCACTCAAAGTCGGAGAAAATTGTTAATGAATGAAGCACATCACCACTCACCACTCTTGGCTCCGTCTGCACATCCACACATTCCTTTCAACGGACGTCGCTGCCGCTGCCCCACAAAACACCACGACCAAAAACCTCGTCCTTCTCCTTCTCAATCTCCTCCTTAAAACAAGTAAGTTGTTCATGTTCTGGCTCCGGTACGAGAGGAACTTTAAAATCTCCAGGTGCTCGATGCTGCGTCCATGTTTGGACAACTTCCGTAAACACAGAGACGCTCGCTGAGGTTGACGTCGTCGTGTCTCCAGTGTCACATGCGGGACACTTTTGGGCCGTTTAATGTTCACACTGGAGTCACATACAAGTCACATTTAATTGGAAATGTGAACGACCTCGCAAAAACATCGGATTTCACAAAAAAATCGGAATTGAGCGTTAAGCCCTGCAGTCTGAACGTAGCCTAAGGGAGCGCCCAGACACCCTGAGGAGGAAACTCATTTCAGCCATTTTTATCTGTGATCTCATCCTTTCAGTCTTTACCCAGAGCTCATGACCATAGGTGAGGGGAGGAACGGAGATTGACGGTAAATTGAGAGCTTTGACTTTCGGCTCAGCTCCCTCTTCACCGCAACGGCGACCACATCACTGCCGACGCTGCACCGATCCGCCTGTCAATCTCACGCTCCGTCCTCCCCTCACTCGGTAACAAGACCCCGAGACACTTGAACTCCTCTCCACCCAAACAACCCTGTGGTATCTGCTCAAAAAAACTCCATATCAGACCATCATTTCCTTAAAGCAGGGGTATATGCAAGAACGACTTTTTGGAGCTTTCTACCGTGTTATAACATTGTTCCCTCATCATCATCACCAAAACACGCCTGAAGTGGTTTTATCTGTCCTCCAGGCATGTTTGAGTAATTCAGCTATTTTTGCAGTACAATTCTATCCAAAGCTCATCCAAACTTGGCGATTTACAAAAAAATATACAGAAACATGATACAAAACAACACACTACGACTTCACAAAGCTGATGCGATGTGCAGGAGTTTTATTAACGCTCTG